AAAAAAAAGAAAAAAAAAAAAAAAAAAAAAAAAAAAAAAAAAGAAATAATAACAAATCATTAGCTACATAATCGATGAGTCCTTGTGGGGGATTTGCAAGCAAATCAATCAAGTCACTTACCGATGATGAAACAGCAACAACAACAGATTCCGTTGCGTCAGCGTTGATTTCTTGCGCTTTGCTCGCAGAGCCGTCGATTCCAAATCGGATCGAGCGAACTTGACCGTCGAAGCCGGTCTTTCGTTCCACTTGCACGTGTTCGACGTGACTCTCGGCTACGGATTCACTGGAACCGGTGGCGTTGCGTGGCGCTTCGCAGCGAACCAATGTCGTCGAGAAGTTCAGGTGAATAGCCGCGAAAAAAAGGGTCAAAATCTAAAAGGCGCGATAAAATTAGTCTTTCATCCAGTTAAAAGCGAGGGTTAGTCAAGCAGAGGAAAAAAACGATACAAAAGTGTAATTAAATTTCAATTTTTCCTCCACCCTTTTAATGATCAAAACACGGTCTCATTACTTTGGTCATCAACACGATTTTTATTTGTGGTTTGGAATCATGTTGTGCAATCGTTGTGGCTCGTGTGACACGTACGGATTTATCAACACTTAAAAATATTTTCAAGTGCATTTTTTTTGCTGAAAAAATTAGTCTCACAATAAAATTTTGAGAAAAACTTTTTTTTTTTTTTTAATGCATTTTACACATTAAATTTAATTATTAGGTGTTTGAAACGAAATATGTAAATTGTTTGACCATTTTATTTTCTGGAAAAGATTTTTTAAGTACACTTTCAGCAAAAAGTTACGTACGAAAAAAATTTTAAAAAGTATCCGTCCCCAAGTAAAAAAATGTACGACATATTTCACGTTTATTTCAAGTGACTCATTAGGATTTCCTTAAAAAAAAAAGCGCATCTCTAACGTGATTTGCAAATCATCGCGATAAATTTTGCGTTATTGCGAAAAAAAAGACGCGCGAGATTATGTCAAATGTCATTGAACTTGACACGCAGACACCGCTATTTTTGGCCATTCGATTGGGTCTTCTCTGCTCATAGTCAATCCGCCCGGATTATCCTTTAGCGTTTCCAAACACACGCTTATTTGCACACAAGAAGAGAAAGAAAAAAAAAAAAAAAAAAAAAAAAAAAAAAAAAAAAAAAAA